CGGTAAAATAATACGTTATTATTGTTTGGCGAAATCGCCCGGGCTCTCGCGCGATTTAAAACCGAACTGCCGACGTCGTCGCTGTCTGCTCGCCCGTCCAGAAGTCGAGATCACTTGTAAACGTCCAAGTGTCGAAGTGTTTGCGCGCGCGAGGGTCGCCATTCGCTGTATATAAATAGCTTACCCTTTATATTTCCACTCGAACCGTCGAGGATCACCTGCAGAGTCGGCGTTGACGACCGAATAATTTGCGCGTTTTACACTGTCCGCTCGTATTACTAATTTATTGTCGTTTACGTTTCGGTTCGGTTCGGTTCGGAGAGCGGCGCGAGTGTGCGCGAAAAATATTTCGATGTTCGGTATCGACGTCCCCGAGCGAATATCCTAGTCGTAGGTGCAATACCGTATTATCTGACGGCAGGCACTTTCTGCCGACGTCTCTCCCGTGATGTTGGGAAAGTAGGGTTTTAAAGAAATAAACCAACACTTAATAAAGTTATAGAATAGTATTGGTTTATTACTGAGACATTGAGACTTGCAAGCCCGTACAAGAGTACGATTCCAACGGTCGTACAGTCGTCCCAAAAGAAACAAACTACGTATTGAATAAAATCTAACTAAGTCAAATCGAGTTTAACCGAGTCTTAATGGAGTCTAGTCAAGTCTGTTTGAATCTGCCTCTATGTAGATACCTACGCCCGTACATACATACAACCAAATAATAATAATACGAAGTGGCGGACCCGGGCGTAGAGCTCGGCCGTTTACTAGTGATATACGTAATTGTGGCGCGAGCCCCGTGGTGTATCGGTAAATAAATTTACGGGCATACGCGCCTAAAATCAGTCGCCGTTTTTCAGCGAACAACCATTTGATTTGTATAGTCTGAAATTGGAAGTCTGCACTATACGGATTTGAGAATTGTGTACTAATAAATTAGACCAACCGACTAAATAGGCCTCCATTGTGGATTTACAAACGTGATGAGCGTAAAAAAAAAATCAAGGCCGAAAAGCGTGCAAATCATATCAAAAATTCAAATAATTTAATAAATACAAATTTTACTTCATGATTACTGGTTGTGCCTCTCCAGCAATTTTTCCACGCCCCCGTTCGGGAAACACTGCTATGGGTAGTACACAAAACAATAAAGATGTTTTAATTTTTTAAAAAAGAAATTTGTCTACAATAAAAAACAAAATTATTTGTTACCAGTTACGTTTTACCAGGTGTTATAAGTTCAACTTTTTTAAGCACAATATTTTGCGATTATCAATTATATTCAGCCAGTAATATTATATCCATTTGAAATACCATTTTTACTGTTACCTATGTCGAATTTTCTGCGATAATAGTTTTTATATTACCCTGTCTGTTATTTATCACAATATATCGGTTTTGTTCCTTTTTTTTTTTTTTTTGCGTGCAATATTGCGCTCGATATTTTCTAGTGTTTCTTTTTACCGTAACGAAACTTTCGAGCTCTATATAACAGATAGTAAAGCATTATCATATTGATAATTATGTATAATTATGCACGCGATACGAGCGTTCTAAATTCAACGTTTCTATTGGTCGTGGCCTTCTCCTATTCAATTCAACACGGTATACGAATTTTGAGTTTACGGTGCTTAAGAATATGGTTTTTTTTTTTCAACTATCCATTTAAACCGTTATCGTCGAAACTCTTACAAAATCAGCTTAGCTTATTGTTTTTTACGATAATATTGTCGTTTTCTTATTTGTCAGTTTTATCACACATTGAACTCGGTACCATATTATTATAACGATTAATTTACGCGTCGTCGGATTAAAACGGATTTACTTTACAGCCGCAGCAAAAGAGTAAAGGGATATTTTCGTATGTACCATTAATATGTTGATGATAGTATAATGTACATTAATACCGAACGACTTTCGCGCTATCATTGATAATATTATACGCTAATAAATTCAAAACCTAGTTTAAAACGTTGTTACGATATTAACACAAATATTATTATTGTATACGTAGTTCATACACTGCTGCAGCGCTACATTATTATGTTTATCGAAGTACTATTATAATACTTATATATGCGGCGAGTGCGTGTAACTTCTTTGCGCGGCATTATGACTTTTGAAAGTCGTTTGAGAGTTTGAAATAACTTTTCGGAACAATACGAGACGACGACGACGACGAGTCGGTTGGGAAAACAAAAATATAATATTGTCGTCCCGGCTTTCTGTGCTGAACTCGCGACTGCGCCGCAGAAATCGCGCATCATACCCGTAAGTATAACACGTAATTAATATTCGTATAATAATAATATTATCGTCAAAATATTAAAATGCGAAAAAAAACACCGTTATCAAATTTACCACGACGACAAGAAACGGACGTAATATTTAAGTAAAATTGAATGAGGAAACAAATATATGGGAATGCTACACAGAGCACGGGGCCTTTAATTATTTGCGTAGTTTACAATTCGGTGGTAAGTTCAACGGGTAACGATTTTTATAAATAAATCGGCGAACGGGTAAATTTCACTAGTTCGTCAGTGTCTGGCGTCGGGGACATTAGAATTTTTTTTAACGTTATGGTATATCGAACTCTATACGCGTGTATACCAAATTTAAAACGGATCGCAATTTTATCCATCTATTGCCATTTTTTTTTTTTTTATAATTTAATAGCATGACCTATTTGTTGTTATCTTCGAATTGATTTCACGCTGTTAGTGTTGTGTAGTACGTGTAATAATCCATTCAATATTTTAATTTTTAAGCGAGACATTGGAATATTGTGATATTTCACACGTTCATATCTCGCAGTGGCAGTGGCAGTTACATCCCAGTTCTGAGGTGAGAAGAGTGAATTTCAAATCTACAGAGGCGATACTATACGACTTCTTAAGGTTTAGGCAATAGGGTACCTAATAATATTGTACAATATACGTGTATACCGGGCTCATGGGAGTGGTGATCCACCAATCGCCCCCTTCTTTCGATATATACTCGGCCACCGTCGCCGGTGTCTCGCTTGAAAATTAAGACACCGAACAAAAATAAAACGCGAACACACACAGCTGACAATGTTCGCATTCCTTTACGTTTGACGACACGGGTCAGTTCGCTAAAATATTGATACTGACATCGTAAAATCGGGTTCGCTGAACGTAAATTTGCTATATCGTGCGTTTGTAAGACGGTGGAAATGCAATCGTGCAGAGCACATCCTCTTAACACGATTTGATATTATTTTGAAGTGCATATACTTTATACATGCCGCGTAAAGTTTTGTTTGAACACGGTCTTTGACGGGACCCCGTTTCAATAGAACGTGTCCTCGGTTTGATTTTGAATTTTCGGCAGTGGCGGCATTCGCGTAGCGTATAAAAAATATTGCATTACGCGGGCGCGGTGTGAATACAAAACAATAAAAAAAAAAAAATCTAGGGAACTCTCTGGTCGTTATAATATTTTTTTTTTCGTCGGATCGTGCACATGCGAATCGTGTCATAAAACCACAAAAATAATAATTATAATTTTTTTTCCTACAGAAACTTACATTTTTTTTTTTCGCCTGTTCCACATAGGAACTTACATTTACCCCCATACACAATCGTATAAACGAAAAAGAAATCATTACGAGTTTATATCGTGTGATGCGCGGGCCGTGCGCAACGATATGGCCGTACATCGTTCGCGCATGGCCGTTTACCTTATCGCACGACGTAAACCGTTTGGCGCATCACACCGTGTTCGAAAGCGAAATTTCCTAGTTACTAGTAACGGTACAATTTAAGGTCCCCGTTACGCGTGTACGTTTAACCGACTATATCGTGTATCGATTCGCGTGGCAAAAACTACTCGTGTATTTTAAATGCGCGCATAAAACGGACAATACGGACGACGGTCGGACAATCCGTAGCCTTCAATCGGACGGAACCGATTATTGTTAGTAAACCTCTTATCGAGTCCACGGCCTTACGTCGGCGTCGCGCGATCGGCAGTACGATGCGATTGTCGCGGAACACCGGAACACGTGGCCAGATTGCGATCCGATTGGTCGTTGAGCATGCAATGAAAAACGCAAGGTCCCCCCCCTCCCCCGGACAATTATCGAACAATTACCCCGCGGTAATCGTTTCTTTTAGCGTTTAGTCAATTGCGCTTTTACGAGTCATAGGCGGCGATTGTTTAAAACCCCTCGGCCGTTTTTGAGTGGGGTTTTTTTTTTTTCGCGGGGCCGTATTTCGTTCGTTATGGCGTTTTCGAGCGCTTTTCGCGGGGGATTTTAATCCCCCGGGCTAATTGCATATTTTAATATAATATTATTATATCCCGCGTAACGCGACGGTACCCGCGGCGGGGGGGGGAAGGACGGGGGCGATCGCGCGAACGCCCGTGCACGCGCTCGTCCCGCCGGCCGGACGGACCGCGAAAGTCTTTGATCGCGCGCGAGCGTTTCGCGAGGGGTTCCGGGGGCGCGCCGCCGCCGAATTTAATTGAATATTCGACCGCACGGCGTGGGCTGCCGCGACGACGGCGGCGTCGAGTGTCCGGGTTCGCGGGTTCGGGATGATGGGGGGAGGGGTTTGGGCGGCCGTAAAATCGCGGGCGGGAGATTCGCCCGACCACTTAAACTCGTTAACCTACCCTCGGACCCCCTGACCACCGGCAATCCCGGACCGGACGGGGGACCGTAAACCTCGGACGCGTGCGTGCGTATAAAACGGAACGAAATTAACGGCGGCGACGGTCCGAAATAACGTCCCGGGCGCAATTCCGCGATTCGGGGATTATAATATTATAATGCACCGTGCGCGTACCTAAACCGTCGTCGTTTTGCCGCGCGCCCGTCCGGGCGATTTGCGGCACTTAAAACGGCCGTGTCCGCGCGTATATAATATTTTATACGCGTGACGCGGAAACGCCGCCGCGCATTACATTAATTCGCAGCGTTGGGTCAGGTCAGGTTTATTAAGACGCCGCCGTCGCGCGCGGTTCCCGTGTTACAACAACGTCGCGGCCGACCGACTGCGGCGCGCGCTGATATTCGCGGTGCCGGTCGGCGGGTGAGGTTCCGCGGAATCCCTCGCCCTGTCCGGCGGAACAAAGTCGCCGTCCGTCCGCCGACTTCGAAATCCGTCGGCCGGTGCCGGCGCGCGGTGTCCGTTTCCCAAAGTGGCGTCGGCGACGTCGTAGCCGTTCGTCACGGCGGTCGCAAATATCGCCCCCGAGACGGTTTTCGTTCGTTCTGTGATTTGTTTATAATGTACGGATCGGCGGCCCACGACGGTCGCGATCACAAACAAAACTAAAACCGACATATTCGGGCAACGTGACATAATTAATTGAGACGGAGAAAAGGAGGGTTCGGCATTGGCAATCCGCACCGTTCTCAAGTAAGGGGGGCTCAATAGTAACGTATTTGGTCGTAAATACTGGGACATAGATATAGAAAGGGTAGCAACAACGCGAAGTGAAATAGGGAACTTTAAAGTTAATGCGTCGAAGGAGGTACGGGGTGAACGTACAAGACCTGAGATTCATTTGCTTAGAAAATCTAAATTTACTCGAACTCTTCCGTCAGCTAGAGAAGACAATTGTAGGGAAATAAGAACAGGACAGTAATCGTGTGGTAGGTAATCTATTTTCAACACAAACCCGGCAAAGAACAAAAGTTTACGTTGCACTCGATCCAGTTCTGGACGAGTTATCCCGAGGAGTATATAATATACAAGGTGATCCAATTAAGTGAATACACTTGATATTTCGAAAATGTTTCGAATTTTTTTCTAAAGCTTTAAAATGTTACATTTATATTCACACTTAGTTTTATGAGGGGTGAAAGGACTACCTATTTTTGATTTTGAAATGACAGTCTATAAGTTGTTCCATTAAGAACGCCGGATTTAAATTGCCCAGTATTTTTTTGTTTTGTGTGTTTACTGATCTGTTTTCCTTATCATTATATCATCTATAGACTTTCCGAAATGAAACGCTGCGAAGGTTTTATTGATTTATATTGATTGTTTCTAACCTTCTGTTTGTAACCACGGAACGTCTATCTATTGAAGAACGCGTTTTGGTTTAGTTCAGTTTCATTGAACTTAACTATCAATCGACTGTTAAGATGGCGCATTATTTCGGAAAAACTTTCATTATGACAATAAAATGTCTTGGCAACCATATAAACGCGATCTTCAATAGTTAGACGTACCGTGGTTACAAACAGAAGAAGTTAGAAACAATCGAAATAAATCAATAAAAAAAATAAAATGGTTAAACCTTCACAGCGTTTCATTTCGAAAAGTATATAGATGATAATAGTAAGAAAAACAGATCAGCCAACACACAAAACAAAATATATCGGGCAATTTAAATTTAGCGTTCTTAATGGGACACCCGCGCATAACAATTTCATAAATATACGGAGTATTCGTTTAAAAATACATTTTGATATTGACATTTTTGATTTCCGTCAATCCATTCGTGGGATATTTCACTTTTAAGTTAAATAGTTGTAGAGCATCATTCGTGTGTATGTGGAGTAGCGTGTCCTTTTTCATGTTACAACACAGTTTAAATATGCGATTTCAAAGTACCTATGTTATTTTTTTTTTTTACTTGTTTGAAATTTGAAAAAAACTGCGTTTTACCAATTTTTTTTTTTTTTGCACTTTTTATCATTTTTAAGCGCTTATTTCACTGTTATAACGAAGTTATTTTTGTTGATTTTAAAATGCTCCAAGTCCCGGATTCTGGTTGCCCGGTTATTAAACTCGGCCTATTTCACTTGTCGCTCGTGTTCGCGATTATACGGTAATTTTTGTTTTGTTTTCTTTTACGATCACCTGCCGCAATAATTCCGGTACTTCTCGGTATATCGATAAAAGAAAAAAAAAATGCTCCGCCGCTGTCGTCGTAGCGAACTGACGGATTTATGGCACCGCGCGAACAACCGCTTTCTAGAACGGTAAATTTTTATCGGACGATTTTTTTTTTTTTTTATTTATTCATAAAAAGTTTTAATAATTTTATTTTACAACTTTATATTATACGTATGTCTATATAGAGGTACTCGGAACGAGATTTATTATTCGAAACAGACCGGAAGAAAACGCGCGTCTGATCGAAAAAAAAAAACTCTATAATATGTATACCCGCGTTGTGTACTATCGTTTTATATTATGTAGGTACCTCTTGCGGTTCTATTCTATTTTTATAAACAGCGAACGATTCCTCCGCATAATAACGCGAGAATATCGTCGAAGATTAGAAAGTTCGATTTTGGTGAGAAAAAAAAACGCGTGTTATCGTTTCCGAAACGGGACAAAGCCATGCGGGAATTGTTACGGTGCGACACCTAGACGCGCGGTATCCGCGTACGACGATAATAATACAATAATAATATTGTACGTTCGGTGCGAAATAATCGGCGAAAAGGCGAACATTTCGCACATAATAACGTTACAATACGCAATATACGAAACCGCCAAATCGTCTTGTTCGAGTCGAAAATAGAGAGAGAGAGAGAGAGAGAGAGAGAGAGACCATCTTTTCTTTTTTTCTTCTACACTGCTGCCGCGCGTCCTCTCGGCGTCGCGTGCCGGTCGCATTGTGTTTTCGGCGGACAATAACTCACGCGCGTAGCTTTCGCGCAGCCCGCCCCCCGTCCCCGTCGTTCTTTGACGGGACCTTATCTATTTTCTCGTTCGAGAATATTATTATTCACGGGGAAAAAAAAGAGAAAAAAACGAAAGAAAAAAAAAAAAAGGACCGACCGAACTGTATCGGCACAGCTAGGTATTATAATAGTGTATACGGAAAACCGCAAGACTCATTCAATTTCCTTTGGGCCCGTGCCAGACGGTTAAACGGCGTACGACAACGCGATGTATAGAAGAGTCGGCATTGCCAAAGTCTTCCGACTCCCCGTATCGTACCCCGGCGGTAAGCCCCGCGACCAGACGTTAAATGTTCTAAAGCCAAATTGATGAATAACTGCTGCTGCCCCCTCCACCCCCCCTCTCCCCACGAAACCGACCTTTGGGTTTTTATTATTATTATTTTATCGCGCCTCGCGCCGCACATTAATCACTCCTTTCGAAAATAACCCTGTTGTTATACGCTATACACCTACGTTATGGTGACAAAGGCCCCTGGCCGCCTGAAATTTTCAAAAAAAATTTGACAAAGCGGTAGATCTGCCGTGTTTTTCACACTAAAACCAACGATCTTAACCGCGTTGTGTATGTGTAACGAATAGCGCAGAAAACCGCTGGAAACAGGACTCCGCGGAGCAAACGAAAAACCTTCTGCGCGTTTGTTTCCGTAATGCAAAAGTTTAAACACTCGTGAAATTCAATAATTTCGGTAACGTTCAGATTTCCGTTTTATACGGTACGGTTTCCGTTTTATCGTGGGTCCGTCTTGGTCTCGCAAGTTTCGCGAGGATATTCACTGCACGTACGTTTCGGTTTCCCGTCGTCCTGTAATTTCTAACCCGGCACTCGCAATAACTCAGTTCTCCGGCGTTTCGTTTAATCCCGGTTGGCGTGGAGTAAGTAAATAAAAGCAAAACAAGTTACCGAGCTATACTCTTCTTCTCGCGTGAACATTTGTACTGGCCGTTACATTTATAGTCGGTACAAGACGATCAAAAAAAAAAAAAACAAAAATACCTAGTTAACTCCGCTTGACTATACTTAACGTGAACTAACCTGGATAAGACGATTTTCAATTGATTTAATGACGCCGCGAGTTTGACGGAAAAACGCAGTCAATTAATTTATAAAACGTTGTTGTCATGGAAACGCACATTATTGTAATCATTTTCCCATAATATATGATATAACACCATATATTGTAAAGTCAACAAAGCAACATTATCAACTGAAATCGGCTCAGAATCGTTTTTTTTTGTTAGCTATGGTTTATCGTTGCTTACATTATACATTAATATATTATACATTATATATTAAATTCTCGTTTGTATCGTACATTCATAAGTCATGAAACTTCCCACTTATTACAGTACGCCCGCGCCCATGTTCATAAAGTATGTCTGTCCTTTTTTTTTTTTATTTTTGTATAATAATGTAATATGATAACAATATTTATCAAATCTACAGATCCACGACGCTTGGATTGTCATGTGACAATTCACAGTATGACAATCATTACAAAACCTTGTGTCATGGATGTATTGTACAATATTATTATTATTTTTTTTTTTTTTAAATAAATCGTTCGGTTAGATTTTTAAACGTCGATAGATGGCGTTATACGCTTCAATATCGGTTCGGTCGTTTTTGGCGAAATGCGTAATCTGACGTTTTCTATATCTTGTTATACGAAATTTTCCGGGTTGTTTGCGGACGTCATTCAATTACGAAAACGATACACCCGCAGAAACGTTTGAAACGCAATAAGACCGCGTCACCGCCGCCGTTCGTTCGTTTAGAAGGAAAAAAAAAACGCGTTTCGTTTCGAAACGATTGTCACCCCGGCCAGCGGCCCCGAATCCCCCGACGCGAAAAAAATCCCTTACCCGACCGTCCCGACGCAATATTTACGACACGTGGCGTACGCGCGTTTCGGTGCGAAATATCTGAATAAACGTGAGTCGTATATCCGATCGAGAGTCGCGGCGCGCGTGCACGCGTTTCGAATGCACGACGGGCGGGCGTTGCGGTGCGGTGCGGTGCGGTTCGTTCGAGTTCGAAATTTCGGCTCGCGCTCGCCGCGTCACCGCCGTCGCCGGGGGTTCCTGCGCAATTTCCGAACGTATTTCCGCCGCCGCCGCCGCCGCCGCCGTTCGATATTCGTTTCCGGGCGTAGGTGATGACGGCGTGTTCGCGTAATAATATACGCGCGACAATCGCGTAACGGCGACGATAATTTCGATTTCGCGCGTTGTTGTCGGGTGACACGCCCGTACGCCCGTGCAGTAATTGTTAAGCGCGCGCGTACGCCGGCCGCCGCGCGGATTTCGATCAAACGTCGGGCTTTCCGGTCGGCCGCGCGGACGGCAGCGACACGTCAACGCGGCCGCCGCGTTATCGGCGCGCCGTTTCGGACCCGTCCCGGGCCGTTTTCCGGCCCGTCAACGTCGCGGCGCGCCGGTGGTGCGCGGACGGCCGGGCCGCGATAACGCGTTAAGCCGCCGCAAAAGTCCGGGCGCGCGTATTCTTTCTCCCCCGACCTCCCGCGCGTGCCGCTCGTTTTTCCGCCGCCGCCGTCACCGCGCGACGTGTAAAAATCCATTTCCCGCGGGCCCGCGAACATAATTACACCGTCTCTCGTGGGTTTCGCGAGCCCGCTC